AAGAGTTGGAGCCAGGCATAAATGCGTGGCACAAAGGAATCACCTGCCTCGCACAAACACACACAATTGTCACACACCTTACAAGACTAGGGCCGCTCCGTTCCAGCCCCATACAGCCCTAGGGTCAGGCTGAAAAGCTTCCCCCTCTCCAGACACCGCTTGCACTCTCACTAAGCGCTCACTATTCATTTCTACTGGAAAATGTTCCTTTTAAAATATATCTATGTATATTTTAGCTATTTCCATTTTGCATAGACATGGCAGGGTGAGCCTCTGCAATTTCTCAGCCCCTGAACTTGCTTTTAACTTTCCCATGTGTACATGTGCATGCACACGCTGTACACAGACAAACATACAGAGATGCATGTACTCTCACATACACAATTATAGCAATGCAAATGTATGTATCCAAATATCTCTCTTCACCCCTGTTACCATACTAATGACAAATTCGGACGCTTATTTTACTGGAGAGCCCAGCACTCTGATAGTAGAGATTGAATGTTGATAATTTTCATGTACGTACAGACGCATACACACACACAGTTTCTGGATGCTGGGCTACATACGGACCTATCTAAAATCCTCGCGGTGGATTTGCAAGGACCTTTTGCAAAGTTAAAATATATCTCCCCAAGCTGCAACAATTTTCATACTTTTTAACCTCGGGGATTTACTTAGCACATTAAGTTCAAGGCTCGGAAGCCCAAGGCTATTACTCATTTAGGTACTCCCTCCTCAACCCTTTCCACCACATATTTTATCATTTGACTTCCTGGTTTAAATTCATGTTATGGCAAATAATAGATGGTAATACTTTCCCCCTTCCTCGTATTAATTGTCTTTTCTGGCAAACCCTGCATTTGAGATGATTTAGTGCAAACAACAGCAACAAAGTGGAACCAGAAGATAAGTCAGAACAAAACAGAAAATCATAAAAATCTCAGAACCTGATTTTCTTTGTTTTAACTTAGTTGGGGAAGTTGGCCTGCAACATTTCCTGGGGCAGATCACAGGATCCGTTCTGTCTGTGCTGGACAGCACAGCTCATACAACAGCAGAGTGTTGGTTCAGCTTATACCGCTAATTATTATGGAGAATTTCTGTCTGTTTTGAGGTTACTTACTCAGAATGCCCTGAAATTTGGAGCTCAGGGCAGGGCTAATATATCAAATATGAGGATGTGTATACTGAGAAACAGCTACCTCCCTGACATTGCCCATACTCCAGGCAATAGGTTTGGGAGGGAGGTTGCTATGTTTCCTGAAATATTGCTCTTCCTGAGGTGACTGAAATCGGAAACAAAACGGAGCACCCTTTGCAAATTAAAAAGCAAGGTGTAGTTGATTAGCAAATTAATTATTTCAGTACCCCCAGGATTATATTGTTTTTCCAAGTTCTTCGGGCCTACATAATTTACTAATTTCACAGTCAGTGAACTTCCCAGGGAGCGAGAGTCAATCTAATATATCTATTGGATGTGTATAGAAGACTTGCTTCATAAGAAGGCAGTAAGGCTAATGGGTATGGAAGAGGAAGCAGGACCTCTGGACCTTTTTCACTAGCTTCTGCCATTGACTTGCTGCTTATCCTTGGGCAGGGCAGTTCACCCTTCCGTCTCTCCGGTTTCCCCATCTATAAAATGAGAGGCTGTCTCGCAGAGTTACGGTGTGATGGGACAATCCATTAGGGCTCAGAAACCAGTAGGGACAATCACACGCAGACCGGGCTCAACAGAGCGGCCCTGGTAGCTTTTGAGGGGGGGGCTGCTTAAGCGAGTACGGGAAAGGCTCTTGCAGGAAGAAGACATGATTCTGTCATTCACAAGCAGCTGGGAGAAGGCTGTAGGCACTGCAAGGGCTTTAGTTCACCAGCCAGTGGCAGCTTCTGATTTCTGACATCACTGCTATGGAGAGCGTTTGAGCACAGGGGAAAAAAAAAAAGAAATGAAACTGAACCGATGGAAGCGCCTCAATAAAACCTAACGAGAACAAACCAACGTTGGGACATATCATCAATGCCCTCTGACCGCTGACTAAGAGCGTTAGCAGATCCCCATTTAGTACGTACAAAGACAACCCCTCCCTCCCACAGCCAGTGCTGCCGAGTGACTGAAACAGGATCACCTTTGCTCATGACTGGTTAAAATGAAAGGGGAACCTACTGATATATTTGTATCCTGAC